AACCTAGAATACTGTCTAACACTTGATGGCTGCTCTGTTAAGTCTTCGTCGTCAGTTAGGAACCTGGGTGTGCTCTTTGATACCAATCTCTCATTTGAAAGTCACGTGTCTAGTATCTGTAAAACCGCATTTTTCCATCTTAAAAACATATCTAAATTACGCCATATGCTCTCATTAACAAATTAGAACAATTAGTTCATGCGTTCATGACCTCAAGGCTAGATTATTGTAATGCTCTACTGGGTGGTTGCCCTGCACGCTTAATAAACAAACTACAGCTAGTTCAAAACGCAGCAGCTCGAGTTCTTACCAGAACCAGGAAATATGACCATATTAGCCCAGTTCTGTCAACACTGCATTGGCTGCCTATTAAACATCGTATAAATTTTAAAATATTGTTGATTACTTACAAAGCACTAAATGGTTTAGCTCCGCAGTACTTGAGCGAGCTCTTGACGCATTATAGTCCGTCACGTCTATTGCGATCTCAAAGTTCCGGCCAGTTGATAATACCTAGAATATCTAAATCGACTGCTGGCGGTAGATCCTTTTCCTATTTAGCACCTAAACTTTAAACTTTGGAACAGTCTCCCTAACATTGTCCGGGAAGCAGACACACTCTGTCAGTTTAAATCTAGACTAAAAACACATCTCTTTGACCTAGCATTCACATAGAACATTATAGTCAAGTCAAGTCAAGTCATCTTCATTTATATAGCGCTTTTAACAATGGAGATTGTTTCAAAGCAGCTTTACAGAGATAAACATACAATTTACGGTAACAGAGATTGTTTTGGCTTTATAGCGATTTTGAATAATGTTATTTCCAGCTAAAGTTGGTTTTGATTGATTCACTTTCAGCAAAATTATCATTTGTTATTACATTAGGGGCCACTAAGACGACGGCGTTCTCTCTAAACAGACTTTAAACGCGAACCTGTGACCTGATGGCGTTCACATGCGCATTAAAAATTGATTCTATAGCTGTATTCGTTTGAATATGTGTGCGCAGGTTTGTAATTTCCCTACAAACCATGCCTAAACAAACTACTTGTCTTGCCTATAAATTTGATACAGAATTTTATTTTATCACTTCGGGGTACGCGAACCGGATTTTCAACAACGCTTTATCTGTAGAGTGGGAAAGGGGTCCTCCATAGGGAGAGGATAGTTGACACTTTTAGCACTGCATTGTCATCAGGTCCAGGCGAATCTCCTTCGTCAGATCTGGATACGGCCTGGATCCGGCAGGCTGCGGGAAAACCTCGGGATAAACAAAGACACTAATATTAGCGTAGATGCCATTCTTCTTATGACGTAACGATTCTTCTTATGACGTAACGAGTACATCTGGATTTAAGGGAAGTGTTCCCAATTCCGGCTGACCTAATCTATGCAGCCTAACATTGACTTATAGAAGTCTATAATGTATTATGTGTATGCTAGGTCAAAGAGATGTGTTTTTAGTCTAGCTTTGAACTGACAGAGTGTGTCTGCTTCCCGGACAATGGTAGGAAGACTTGTTCCAAAGTTTTGGTGCTAAATAGGAAAAGGATCTACCGTCAGCAGTCGATTTAGATATTCTAGGTATTTAGCCTGGATGCCAGCCCGAACCCCGCCCACAACATTTTTTGGTCTGGAAGTTCGGTCTGGACTCGATCCATTGAGGAGTAATTATGACCGGTTCAGAAATCGTCGGGCCAATCAAATTGCCAGGGCGGGCTTTATACGATGATTGACAGATGAGGTGCAGTTACGTAATCCTCACGTCACCAAAGAGCGCTTGGGTTGAATTCGTTTACAACAAAGTTCTGCCGCTGGAGAATTGAGATTTCACGAGTTCACACTTACAAATAAGTCAGATAGAATAAATGCGTATATGAGGAGAGGAGAGGCTCCGTGATCGGTATTCGGCCCGAACCCAGAGTAGGCCTACTCCCCCCGTATTCCTGGCTGTGAAAGAACAAGCCAAGAGTGAGGATTCGGGGTGGTGGAGGGATGCTGAAAAACTGTCGAGGAGTGTTAGGTGAGTTAGAGTGAATATGCTTCCTCTCATGCTGATAGGGTAACGTTAGACATAGTATTGTTTGATGACAATTTGATTGGATTGATTATTTGAACGTGCTCCTCCCGAACTTTGTTTATGAAATAACAATAATCATGTGTAGATTCCGCCATCGCGTCTGTTATAGAAGATATCGACAGCGCATTGCTTTTAAAAGAGGAACAGAGAACCGCGATCAAGGCATTTGTCGGTCGGAAAGATGAATGAAGAACATGCGTCATTTACTCCGTTGCTCTGATTGGTTGTAGGTCTATCCAATTGAATGCAGAGGCATTTTCTTTCCTTGTTCGGTTGAAACACGCCCCATAATCACAGCCCAATGGATCAGTATCAGACTCAGAATATGAGTATGACGAAGTCAGGCTACTAGGTATTATCAACTGGCCGGAATTTTGAGATCGCAATAGACGAAGGACTATAATGCGTTAAGAGCTCGCTCAAGGACTGCAGAGCTAAACTAGGGGTGGGTGATATGGCAAAAATAACATATCACGATTTTTTTCAGGAAAATCACGATTAACGATTTTATCACGATTCTTTTTCATGTTGGTTTTACTATTTTGCAAGTGACTGAGCATTACAGCCAAACTAATGTCCCTGTTTTAAAACAAAGCCTTATAGGTAACAAAAGAAAAAAAGAATGGCAGACATTTAGGCCAAAGTGGCGAAGATAAAAATCTTTGTCATTATTTTCTTTGTTATTAAGAATTAGGAAACACAACTTAATATACAAATTAAATAAACAGTGCTTTATTTTTTCAGCTAGGTGTATTTAACAGTAGCATTGAAGAAAGTAATTAGGCTAAATGAACAAATACGAAAATAAACACAACATAGACTTCACTGTATAAATTATACATTGATTATTATTAAAGCTACTACTAAAGTTCTCAGTCAAGAGCAGTGAGTGATTTCCTCTGTGTTTTGTTGTTTTATTAACATTAAAGGGATAGTTCTCCCAAACATTTTAATTGTCATTACTCTCTCAAGTTGTTTTAAACCCGAATAAGTTTCTTTCTTCTGTTGAAAATAAAAGTTATTTGGAAGAATGTGGCTAACCAAACAGTTGCTGTACTCCAGTGACTTCCATAGTATACATGTTTTCCTACTGTGGAAGTCAATGGGGACCAGCAACTGTTTAGCTAGCCATATTCTTCCAAATAACTTTTATTTTCAACAGAAGAAAGAAACTAATACAGGTTTGGAACAACATTAGAGTGAGTAAATACATTTACATTTACATTTAGTCATTTAGCAGACGCTTTTATCCAAAGCGACTTACAACTGAGGACTAAAGCAAGCGAGTCATCGTGAAGAGGCAAAAACAACGCAAGAAGTGCTCAAAATACAAAGTTCAGGCATTGCTCAGAGTAGCAAAAATCAGACAAGGGAGGATTTAAAGGAGAAGAAAAGTTTTTTTTTTTTTAACTTTTCACGGAAGTTTTCAGTTGTCTTTTGAATGCTGTCAGGGATTCTGCATTCCGGATGAGGGTGGGCAGATCGTTCCACCAGCATGGAACCGTGAATGAGAATGTTCTGGAGAGCGATTTTGTGCGTCGCTGTGATGGTACCACGAGCCGCCGCTCATTGACCGATCGTAAGCTTCTGGTAGGGATGTAGACTTGTAGTAGTGAGTGAAAGTAGGAGGGAGCTGAGTCAGTAGTAGATCTGTAAGCAGCGAGTGGTAGCCAGTGCAGAGAGATGAACAGAGGAGTGACGTGGGCCCTTTTGGGCTCGTTGAAGACAACACGAGCTGCAGCATTCTAGATCATTTGTAGAGGTTTAGTTGCACCTGATGGAAGTCCAGCCAGAAGAGCATTGCAGTAATCAAGCCTAGAGATAACCAGGGCCTGGACGAGAAGTTGTGTTGCATGCTCAGTTAGGAAGGGCCTGATCTTCCTGATGTTGTGCATAGCAAACCTGCATGATCGAGCTGTCTTTGTAGTGTGGTCTGTGAAGGTCAGCTGGTCATTAAAGATTACTCCAAGATTTCTGACCGACCTTGATGGGGTGATTGAGGAAGAATCTAGCTGGATAGTGAAGTCGTGCTGTAGAGACGGATTGGCAGGGAGGACGAGAAGCTCAGTCTTTGCCAGGTTGAGCTGCAGGTGATGTTCCTTCATCCATGTCGAGATGTCCGCCAGACAGCTTGAGATCCGTGCAGCTACTGTGGGATCATCTGGTAGAAATGAGAGGTAGAGCTGGGTGTCATCAGCATAGCAATGATAAGAGAAACCATGTGCCTGCAATGGGTCCCAGTGATGTGGTGTAAATGGAGAAGAGGAGCGGTCCAAGAACTGAACCCTGGGGAACCCCTGTGGTCAGTTGATGTGCTTTGGATACTTCGCCTCTCCATGCGACCCTGAAGGACCTACCTGTGAGATAGGACTCAAACCAGTCACTAAGACGACGGTGTTCTCTCTAAACATGAGAGTTTCCCCTTTTCTCTCTTCTCTCTCAGCTGTTCTATATCTCATCATCTCGTTAACGCTCACACCTGTTCTCTCTTCCTTCTGATTTCTCTGCCTATTTCTTCTCCCTCTTTTCCTTGGTTCCCCGCCAGCGTATTACCTGATGTGTGTTAGGCCTACGTACCTGATGTTTCTCTATCGTGCTCCAGTCCTGTCGTGTCCAGTGTGGTATGTGCCGTCTCCTGATTATTATCTCTGATCATCATCTGCTTGCCCTGTCTCTGGCTGTCGGGTCCGACTATTGTCTGAAGCTGTTCATCTGCTACCCGGACGCTTCTCCGCATCCTCCGGGGATTCCCTGAGCCATACGTGCAGACGCTCTTCAGTTGTCATTTTTCTAAGAAGCTTTCTGTTTGTACTATTTTGCCTGTCAGCACCTGATTTCTGCCAAGCGGCGCTTCTGAGTTATTAAAGAGACTTTGCGTCTGCGTACACACGAAACCACTGGAACCGACTGAAACCGGTGTAGTATATATGCCAGACCAGTATGGGGCGCTGTAATTCTGCCACAGAGATACACTATACACGGAGAAGAAGACTTTGAGCATGTGCATAACCTTGCGCGCTGTATACGAACCAAGAAGAAGAAGACGAAGATGGTGTTGGCCATTATCGCTTGTTGCTCACCACAGTTGCATAGAAGCAATAGATTTTGCTGTAATAAAGCTAGTAGGCTTAGTAGCTTCTGCAGCACGAACACAATCATGTAGTCCGCCATTATTGTTGTTGCTGTTACGTGTGACGCAGCCAACACGTGATGTGATGACATCATCGTTTCACAAAATATACGGATTGGCTGTACACACGAAACGTCTCCGGTTACTATCGTAACCTCGGTTCCCTGAGAGGCGGGAACGAGACATTACGTCACTGACGTATATGGGAACTCCCTCCTTCTCCGTTTTCACTGAAATCTTATAGGCTAACGCCAGCTGGAGACAGCTGGCCAATTGACGCGAAACATGCAAATGCTGACCGGACCGCGGGCAGTATAAATAGCATGTGCGCGACAATTACGTCAGAATCAAGACTGAACGCTAGCACAGCTGGTCAAACGGCGAGCACGGCGGCTGACGTAATGTCTCGTTCCCGCCTCTCAAGGAACCGAGGTTACGATAGTAACCGGAGACGTTCCCTTTCAAGGCGGTTACTTCGACATTACGTCACTGGCGTATATGGGAACTGTATAGAATCCCGCCATGAGCGCAGTGAAGATAAGCCCTGAACGGGGTCAGGCTACACTCCCACGAGAGACAACAGTTCTAAGCCAGCAGCGCCGCTAGGAGCACTCGAACTGATAGGTAAAACTAGACCAAGAAACGTCTGCTCCGACCTTACCAAAGTTGCATATCCAATGCAATGAAGCGAAGACTGCACTGGACAGGGCAGCACAACACCATAAGCACTCGAGCACAAGAGTTAACACAGTGTCGACGGCAATAGCGGTGACAGCTGCATAACCTTATAGCCATACACAGAGTTAACAGGACATTGAAAACTACTGCGTAATGCGGAAACAGCTATGTAACATTATAGTCATTACACAGAGTTAGCAGCAATGGTAACTCTGCATAATGCAGACTACTGCACAGCTGGTGGTAACAGTTCATGAGTACATTAATAAAACTCACGACGCTATAGGCAGTGCATCAAACTCGAAACCCTGGCGAACGTGTTCTGAGAAGACAGCCAGCATACCTAAATCCCGTAGGCATTAAGCCAACATTGAAAAGCGTCGAATTCAGTGAGAAAGTCTCAGTATAAAACAGCACGTCCCTAGTACCATCCACCAAGCACACAAACAGCTGGTCAGACTGCTGCCTAGTGATCCACGTACATCGGCAAAGCCCTTACAGGGCCAACAGCACTCCGAGCATCGGCATCATGCGAGGCTGACGGCTCAGCAGATAAGGCGGGCAGGGATCAACCTGTGCTCTGAATGGTGTAAGCGACTTCGGAACGCAGCTTGGTATCGGACGGAGAGTGACGCTGCAGTCACCAGGTCCGAGACAATGCAACATCATTCACTTAGAATGAGCGTAGGTCTCCAAAGTGCATCGCTGGGGCGAGAGCATGTGGATTAAGGCCATCTCAAGGAGAGCTCTCAAACACTTGTTAGTGTAAGGTTTCTTGCTCAACTATGGACCCGGCAGCGGACACACATGTAGGTTCCATAGCTTGGGGATGATAGGCCAGTAAGGGGGTCACGAAGAACTGACACTCCTTTGCAGAACATAGCCAATGTTCTATAGCCGATGTACAGAAGTGCATACCAACACATAACTGAATGTACATAAACACAGTGATAGTGGCCGTAGCAACAACAACTGTGAATATACGCAGTTAGATAATAGCCCCATAATTGCATAGCACCTCAGTAAGCAAACAAACACAGTCGTAACCGTAGCTACAACTGTGAGTAAACGAGTTAGCACAGAATAGCCAGTTGCACTGAAGGAAACGGGGCAACATAACAGCGTAGCACATGTACGCAACAGCATTGGTCGCTGTAGCGCATCCATATATGTACATAACGCAGCGTAAGTCGCCGTAGCGACAGAAACTGTGTAGAGACAGAAACTGAGATGTACAGTTAGATCAGGATGGCTAGCTGCACCGAAGGAAACGGGGCAGCATTACAGCATAACACATCCGTGTACGTACATACATCCAGAAACGGTGAAAATGCACGGTTAGATTAAGATAGCTAGTTTTGCACTGAAGGAAACAGGGCAACAAAAGAGCAAAAACACGTCCTTATACGTACATAAGTGCAGTGTAGTCGCTGTAGCGACAGAACAGTGAATATGCACAGTTAGATAGGATGGCTGGTTGTTGCACTGAAGGAAGAGGGCAACATAACAGCATAACACATCAGTGTGCACATTTTAAACATCTGAGTGTATAATGCAGCACAAGTCGCTGAAGCGACCGAAACTGCATGAATATGCGTAGTTCAAACACAATGGTCCATTACGTTGAAGGGCAACATAACAGCATAATGCTTCAATATGTACACAGATGCAGCGCAAGTCGCCGTAGCGACGACTGAGACTATGCACAAGCATAGTTACATTTTTGTGTACAAAAAACACAGCGTCAGAGGCATAGCGACATCGACTGTGAATACATAGTTAATCAGAATAGCCGGTTGCACTGAGGATACAGGGCAATATATAACGGCATAAATCATAGACGCATATCAATGTACAAAACACAGCGTCGGTGGCATCGCACAACAACTGTGACTACACAGTAATCAGAGTAGCCAGTTGCACTGAAGGGTACAGGGCAATATATAGCGGCGTAATAGTTACACATATCAGTGCGTAGTGTGTACACAGCGTCAGTTGCATCGCACAACAACTGTGAATACGTAGTGATCAGAATAGCCATTTGCACTGAAGGATAGGGCAAAATATGACGGCATAGATCATAACACATATCAGTGTGTAGTGTGCACAAACACAGCATCAGTTGCATCGCACGACAACTATGAATACACACTGCGTAGTAATCAGAATAGCCATTTGCACTAATGGATAGAGGGCAATATATGACGGCATAAATCAAAACACATATCAGTGTGTAGTGTGCACAAACACAGCGTCAGTTGCATCGCACAACAACTGTGAATACGCACTGCGTAGTAATCAGAATAGCCATTTGCACTGAAGGACACAGGGCAATATATAATGGCATAAATCATTACACATAACAGTGTGTAGTGTGTACGTAACGCAGCATCAGTTGCATCGCGCAACAACTGTGAATACGTACTGCGTAGTAATCAGAATAGCCATTTGCACTGAAGGATACAGGGCAATACAACGGCATAATCATTACACATAACAATGTGTAGTGAGTACGTAACGCAGCGTCAGTTGCATCGCGCAACAACTGTGAATACGTAGTAATCAGAATAGCCAGTAGCACTGAAGGATACAGGGCAATATCGTGGCATAAGCATAACACACACATATCAGTGTACATAAACACAGCGTCAGTGGCATTGCACAACAACTGTGAATACATAGTTGAATCAGAATAGCCATTGCACTGAAGGATACAGGGCAAT